GCTCAAAGACGCTTCACATGTCCTTATTCTTTCACTCCATACACGGTGGTGATAAACTACTACTGTCGCCACAGCTGCCCTGGGGCACACTGACAGAAGCGAGGCAACCAGTCTGTGCCATTGGCCCCTCCCACCACCACCAACCATTCACACACACACCAGACTCATTCTAGGCAATGTGAGTGAAGTGTCTTGCCTAAGGACATAACAAAAGTTTGACACTTTACAGCCGCCCCACTGTGACACCTGGTGTTCCCAGAGGTCTCCCATCACAGTACTAACCAGGCCGTGCCCTGCTGAAGTCACATATTCTGTACATCATTCTTGCTTCTCCATTTTGCTAAAGTTGCTCCTTATTATGCTAAAGATAGAGATTGATTTTATACTTGCTTCTTTTTTATGCTAAAGTTTTGAGATTTTATTTTATTTTGTATAGAGCTATTGTTCATTTTTCTTCCTCATTCCTACTTTTTTGTAACTTAAGATGCAACAATGAAATTTCCCCTCTGTGCGATGAATAAAGGATCTCATAATCTTAATTAAACAAACATTCTTCCTCTGAAAACGCCAAAAAGAAATCCCACAATCGAGCGTGTTTGGTCCCATTCCTCCTTACAAGTGAACAATGCCCGAAGATGCACTCGGGGGAAATCCTTTAAAGGCATCTGATTATTTGACTTGGGATGAGTTGCCATGATACAAAAATATGTGACGTCAGCACCGCGGCATTCTGGGTAAAGTGGCAGCTCGCTATGCTCCTGTTCCAGTGTCAAAGCAAGTGCAAGAAAAACCCACTCGGGGGAATATGAGCCGTGATGACGACGCGGAACTGCGGGTTTCCAAGTGTCACTCACAAGAGGACAGGACGGAAACGCTTCACAGAGATTAAGATTAAGATTAAGAGTTGCTTTATTCGTTCCACAGCTGGGAAATTTCAGTGTTGCATCACCGGTTACAGAACAGTAGGAATGAGGAGCACACAGCAAACCCTATACCAAGTGTCTCCAACCTTTTTCATCCAGAGAGCTACTTTCCAGGGACGATAAAAGGCAGAGAGCTATTCACTTGAGCGACCCTGGGAAAAGAATGGGTGATATATTGGTGTGAACAAGGCTGATATTTATTTATCATACATTATATCATACATATTTATCACATATTTGTTACTAGAGACAAAGTAAGTCCATTTATAATAACAAATAATGATAATGAATGATACAATCTGAAATATCAAGTACATTGTTTCATTGGTTCATTTCTAAATCCTTTGGCGAGCTACCTGGGAGGGGGTGGCGAGCTACTGGTGGCTCCCGAACTACATGTTAGAGACCCCTGCTCTATACTAGATAAAATGAAATAAAAATCTAGTATAAAATCTCCATATTTAGCATAATAAGTACAAACAAATTCTGACTTTAGCATAAATAACAAGTATAAAATCTCTACATTAGGCAAAACAAGAAGGCTTTTTAACTTTTCCCCTGTTCAAATCCAGACTCAAAACTCACATTTTCAGACTTTTTATGCACGGTAGAGTTAGAGCATTATACTACAATAAGATCACTTTAAAATCCTCACCGTATCAGGTTAATTCATTCGTATCAACATCTAAATTTGAGCATGTCTTTCATAACCCTTTGCATAATCTGTATTACGTGGATCGTTTAGAAATCCTGAGGCATTTTGGCACGTATGAAAAAAATCCCAAACACTGCTTTGTCAGCACCGTGCAGCACTTTGCTCTGATGATAATATTGGTGATTTAAGGACATTCATAGACATTTTTTTTTTAAACATTTATGGGCGTTGGTCATCCCGCTCCCTCCCTATGGACCAATGGCTCCTATAAGCAACTGTATGTACCAGACGTCTCCAACCTGTGGCTCTGGGGCTACCGGTAGCTCTCCAGCCCCGTTCAGGTAGCTCTCCAAAGGATTTAGAATTGGACACATAATCCTGAATGAATATATTTTGAGTCATTACATAAATATTATAAGTATAAATATAGGGTTATACAGTATTATGGTATGTTATACAGGTTATGTCTCCATGTCGTGTTGTAATTATCACATAGATTTTTATTATAACTGCAAATGGGAGTAGCTCTCTGCCTCTTCTGTTGTATAAAAGTAGCTCTCTGATTGAAAAAGGTTGGAGACCCCTATACTGTTTGATTCTCTGATCTATTGTCGGCGAATCCACAACTTTGTAAAGCTCTCCGAGACGACTGCAGCTGTGAGTTAGGGCTGTACAAAAATAAAATCTAACATGGAAAAGACACAGATCAATGGCCATTTCCACCGTCAAACTAATCAAATCCATCCTTTATTTTCCTCTGTCAGCAAAAACAAAAAGCAAGTACTATTTTACGCCCTTAGATTTTAACAGACGAATATAGGGCTGAGGTTTGGCACAAATACAAAGAAAAAAACAGCAAAAAGAACCAAACTCAAACTTTAAACAGCAAACCTCTTCTTCAAGTGGACAAAAATAAAATCGGGCTCCACACTTGCGTATGTGAATTGATGAGGCTATATCCTTTGGCTGCGGTGAACGGGCCGCTTCTTCCCAGTGCTCCGTCCAAAGGGCCTGTGTGGAGAGGATTTCCTTCCAGCTGAGCGTGTAATTAGTTCCTCATCAGAATTAGCATCAGAGACCATTAACGCAGAGGCTCTGTGTCTGAACGGACGAACCTGCCAACTTTCCAGCCTCCTTCTCCAAAAAAAAACCCAAAACAAAAACATATATTCTGAATTGGAACGACTGCCTCTTGAAAGTTGAGGTTTTTATTGTGTGTTTTTTGTCTTTGGACCCTGTGTCTGCATAAAGACTATGTAAATCTATCTATCTATCTATCTATCTATCTATCTATCTATATACTGTATCTATCTATCTATATATCTATCTATCCATCTACTTCTAAACTGTATATGTCACAACAGAAATAAATACAATATTGAGAATGAGAGGGATTTTTAGTCTGTACATAAGAAAAGCATTTTTCTCTACAGCTAGCTAAGAACCATAGCAGCTACTGATACTGTTTTGTCCGGCACTTTGACTTGCCTTGTGTATATTATCTATTTTGCGTGCTCCCTGCTAATTTCCCCGTTGTGAGCTGAAAACAAAGGTTCTCTCATCTTATCCTATTGTTGGCGTTTTGTATTATGGCCATTGTTGTTGAATATCTTTCTAGAATGTAATTATTATGGCGTTTTCTCATTTGTAAATGTTTTTTTCTGTGACGACGAGTTTTTTTCTCAGGGGACAATAACCTCTATATTCAACCACAAAAAACGTTATACAGACCCACAATTCGACTGAATGACATTGAACTAGACTTTGTCCAATCACATGCTGTTAATATAGTGTATTATTATGTTTCTTGATCATGCTAAAGCTAGAGTAAAGAGTAATTATTCCTTAAGCTTGCTGTGTGCCCCTCATTCCCACTGTTCTGTAACTGGTGATGCAACACTGAAATTTCCCCACTGTGGGACAAATAAAGGGTCTCTTAATCATAATCTTTACACAATAATGAAATAATGAATCCATAATTTGCAAAAGAGATAAGTGTCATTAGAAACATATCTGAAATTCTTCCAATTCTGCTCTTTCCCAAGTGTTTTTTGAAAAGCCAGATATATGTTTGTGTTTTTCAAAAAGCGTCCCTTTCAAATGTACTTCCAATAACAAAATACGCAGAAGATTGCAGCTTGAGGAAAACAACTTTTTGCTAAATCGACAAATGTCTGTTTTTTTTTTGCAAATGCAGGTCAGTTATTCCAATATTTCCAATATAAAGCAGCCATCTTTGTCCATAAGTGATTTAATGCTTTGTTTCAGGTGAGTCACAAATGAGTCAGTTCTGTCATAATTTACAAGAAGCAAAAAAATCCCCAACTCGACTAAAATGCTTTAATTGGTGGATTGACTTCAAAACCGCGGCCTGTGACTGGTTCGATTGATCAGAGTTTTGGGTAATGAGACTTTGGGCCTTCCCCAAGTCTGTGCAGGTCCTTTTTCATCTCACAGCTAAACCCTCTTTCTAATGGATTTTTTTTCTTCTTTTTTTTTACAGCAGTAGCCAATAAAAAAACCTCACAAAATTCTGCAATTGATGTGTGCTTGATTGTGTTACTTTTACACAGCTTTACAACCTCAAAAATGTATTTTCTTCTTACATATTAAGAATCCAGGAGCAAAAACAGAGCAAAGCTATGATGCAAAATGCTTAAAATTCAAGTTATTTTTGAAAAGCCAGATATTATTCAAGTTTCACTATAATCCTTTCAAATGTTGCCAATAACAAAAATATCGTATCTAAGAATATACAACCAATTTAACATTTATTTTTTCAAAACAGAAATCAATTTTTATGTAGTAATGAAGAAAGGTTTAAAATTATGAAATGCTTCCAATTTACTCAAAAAAAGGCTCTACATACAATACAATTATTACCACTTTCAGTAGCCTTCTCTACACTCTCTAAATATTACTTACATGATTTTAATGTTTTCTTTTCTTCTTTCAAATAAAACAGTTTAGGTGATCTATAGAAATTCTCTTAAATTACTCTTAAAAAATAGGACTCTTCCTGGAGATGCAAATTTAATTCAAGTTATTTCAAGTTGCATCTCAGAGGGACTAAAGGTAAATAAAAAATAAATACATTTTGAAGATAATGCGCAACTTTGCATCTTCCACAGACTTCAAACAGAACGCGTTTTTACGTTCTCTCATGCGTGTCCTGCACCTGCTGCTGCTAAAATACATTAAAACAACTCCGCGGAGAAGTTAGAACTGAGGCACTGCTAAATGTCAACGTAAAAACATCACATTTCGTTATTTTATTCTTCCATTATGTATCACTATATATATTTTTAAAACATGTAACCAGCCGCAATCCTTCAGCACGCGCCTTGAAAACTCTCCCCTGTCAAGAAACGCGCCGTGACAATGTCAACAAGCTCTTTCCAAATGCAAAAATAATAACTTACCACCAGATGGGATAACTTGCCATGACACGCGTGAGCCCACAGAGCGACAGGAAACATCCAAAGAATATCATCCTTAAGGTTTGACGGAACAACATAGTGTGCGTTCTCTCCCAAGAAAAAAAAAGTCTCTCCAAGAACAGGGCACAACTTTTACGCACGGAGGTGGAGGTGTATTTACTCCTTAACCTGCGCGCACGCTCGCTCCAAGGCCACTGACAGAGCACCAAAGGATGTGTCGCGAGATCTTAGTGGAAAATAATTTTTAAAAAGAACGAGAGAGAGAGAGAGGGAGGGAGAGAGTGACAGAGACAGAGTGCGAAAAGGAGAGAGAGAGATAGGGGCGCGTTGCCAAAGTGGGGATTTTTGACGCTTTGAAGGTGGTTCCACGTTGGATTTTAGAACTCATTGAGAAAAAAGCAAGGCGTTTTTTAGCATGCCTTGAGTGAGTGAGTGAGTGAGTGAGTAAGTGTGATATATATAATGTAGTGTAAAGACGAGAGAAAGAGAGAGAGGGAGGGAGGGAGGGTCAGTTCGGCTAGGGGCCTTTTAAATAGCCATCAGGACCCCCACCGACTGCGTAGCTATAACAACCGTGCCCGGATTTCACTCCCCGGCTTGAAGCTTCTAAAATGCACAAATAAATATGTGTGAATTGCTCCGGAGCATTATTTAGCCCCGAGCTGCGGTATCTGCGGCCGTTTAGCAGCAAATGAGGTGTTTTGGCGTCCTTCCTTTTATACGCGCCGGCAGTCCACAATGGAGTATATACTGCAGCCGTATGAGTAATAAAAGGGAAACGTTATGGGTTATGGAATTGTCTGCATTCCATTGTCATCCATGTGATTTTGTGTCGCGTCCAATTCTCAAAGAAATTATTCAAAACGATCATTGTTTATTGCACTTTTACGCACTGAAGTCCATTTCGAACAGAATATTGGATAAAGCATTGGGAAAAGATGGCCTCGAAATAGAACCATACACTAATTGTAAAGGCCCAATAAAAAAAAAACATTAGATTAAGTAAAATAAATAACTTAAAATTGGGTTATTGTGTAATTGATCTATGCATATTTGAGCGTTTATCAGGAGAGATGGTAAAAACAAGGGAGGAAATTGTTAGAATGTTTTTTATGTATGCAAAGGTGTTACAGGCTACAATAAAAAAATAATATTAAAATCAGGTGGAATGTCTCTTTATAAATAATGATAATAATAACTTAAAATGAATATTATTAACCTGATTTTTTTTCAGAGTGAAAAATAGCAACAACAAAAATATTCGAATGACTTTCCCCTCCTCTCTATATTTGTATTTATTTCTATTCAGTGAGTTTTTGTAAATTGTTCTGGTCCAGTCTTCACCCGCGAGGCCAGACTGTCCACGGTCCAGCGAGGCCTGAGTCCTGCTGACATCTAGTGGACAATAACGTTACTGCAAACTTGTAATTGTCACAAATTGCTCCCTGCGCCCGTTCCATCTCAGGCTCATTCACGTTACAGACGTTTATGTCACGTTCAAATATAACTCGTGTAAAAATAATCTCTGTATTCATCCACATATTTGTATGCTTTTCTGGATGGAGGAGAACTGAACCAAAACTAACTTACTGTCACGCCTAAACAAAATCCTTTTTCATAAAGAGTGCATTTTGTTTTTTCCAATCATTATCTCCGGCGTTGGACAGACAGTGTGCTGCTTTTTATCATTTAAAACAGTAGCATTTACGTTTTTTTTTGTTTTTATTCATTTTTTTTGTTCTATTGCATTGTGAATTTAAACTGTAAAAAATACGACACTTGGACTTGACTTGAACTTGCGGGTCAGAGACATGGACTTGACTTGGACCTCACTTGGACCTGACTTGGACTCCTGGGCAGAGACTTGGACCTGACTTGGACTCCTGGGCAGAGACTTGGACCTGACTTGGACTCCTGGGCAGAGACTTGGACCTAACTTGGACTCCTGGGCAGAGACTTGGACCTAACTTGGACTCCTGGGCAGAGACTTTGGACGTGGTTTCAGCACTTATTAAAGGTGAGTACTGGTAAACCCCTTACTTACTTTGATTGCAACTGGTGGACTACTTTTTTGGGAGATTGGTCAAAACGACTGCTCTAGGAGAATTCTGGGAGCCAATGTTGAATCTTAGTGAAAACAGAATCTGAAAATGGTCAAACCTGTCGAGTTCATAAATTCTGCTAAGATAACTATGAGGGAAACTATTCATACACTTCAAACAGCATAAGGATCCACAATTCAGTAACAGCGCAGTAACCGATGGCTTTGATTATAATGCACATACAGGAAATATCCACTAGATGTCAGCAGAGCACAGAACGTGACGGAACCATGGATCTATTGTAATAACGGACTGAACATACTGGACCCATGGATCTATTATAGCTGGACCTAGTGTTACAATACATTAGGTACCAACATCACAGCACCTCCACTCAGGTCTAATGCTTTTAATACATTAGTATATACTGTCCAAGAGATAATCTCCAGTTTGAGCTCCTCCACATGCAGCCTGGATGTACTACCCACTAGATTTCTGAAGTCTGTTCTGAGCAGTCTGTTACCTTCACTCACACAGATAGTAAACATGTCCCTTCATTCTGGAATATTCCCAAAGGCCCTGAAAACTGCAGTCATCAGGCCCCTGCTAAAAAAGAGCAGTCTGGATGCCACTGTACTTAACAACTATCGTCCCATCTCAAATCTGCCATTTATGGGGAAAGTCCTTGAGAAAGTTGTCTACCTACAGCTTACTAGATTTCTTATAATCAACAACTCATTTGATATGTTTCAGTCCGGCTTTAGACCCCACCACAGCACTGAGACTGCTCTCGTTAAGGTTACAAACGATATCCGGCTGAACACTGACGCAGGCAAAGTCTCAATCTTAATCTTGTTAGATCTAAGTGCTGCCTTTGACACCGTCGACCATGAGATCCTCTTACAGAGACTAGAGGACTGGGTTGGCGTCACTGGCACCGCCCTAAGTTGGTTTAGGTCTTACCTTGAAGACAGGAAGTACTTTGTGGAGATTGGAGACTGTGTCTCAGATCATATGGCCCTGACCTGTGGAGTCCCACAGGGGTCGATCCTGGGACCTCTTCTGTTCAATCTCTACATGCTGCCGTTAGGTCAGTTAATACGCAGAAACAAAGTGTCCTATCACAACTATGCAGACGACACTCAGATCTATGTCTCACTGACTGCAGGAGAACATGGACCAGTGGACTCACTCCTTCACTGTATCCAACAGATCAGTGAGTGGATGCAAAACAACTTCCTTCAGCTAAACGCAGACAAAACTGAAATGATTGTCTTTGGTCCCCAGAAACAAAGAGAGAGCGTCATCTGTCACCTACAGTCTCTCTTCCTAAAACCTTCAAACAAGGTCAGAAATCTAGGGGTAATACTGGACTCAGACTTAAATTTTAATAGCCACATCAAATCAGTAACATCAGCAGCTTTTTACCATCTAAAAAACATTGCCAGGATCAAAAACATAGTGTCTAAAGCAGACTTGGAGATTCTTATCCATGCATTTGTCTCCAGTAGGTTAGACTACTGCAATGGCCTGCTCACAGGTCTGTCCAAACAGGCTGTAAAACAGCTGCAGTACATTCAAAATGCAGCAGCTCGAGTCCTGACAAGAACCAGGAAGTACGACCACATTAGTCCAGTCCTCAGGTCTCTGCACTGGCTTCCTGTGGCTCAGAGAATAGACTTTAAAACAGCTCTGCTTGTGTACAAGTCTCTCCATAGCCTCGCACCAAAATATATTAGTGACATGTTAGTCCCATATGAACCAGCCCGGACTCTGAGGAGCACAGGGACTGGACTCCTGTTAGTGTCCAGAGTCAGAACTAAACATGGGGAGGCTGCTTTTCAGATTCATGCTGCTAAAATCTGGAACAGTCTTCCTGAAGATGTGAGACAGGCCTCCTCTCTGACAATGTTTAAAACCAGGTTAAAGACGGTTCTGTTTAACTGTGCATACAACTGAGGGATTTTATATTTTTATCTTTCTTTTTAATGTTCTGTGATAATTTATGATTTTAATGCTTTCTTGTTTTGTTCAGCACTTTGAATTGCCTTGTGTATGAATTGTGCTATATAAATAAACTTGCCTTGCCTTACTGCTATAGTGATAGTATACAACAGTGCTAAAAAGGGCTGGAAAAAACCACATGCAGCAGTCTTTGAAAGTCTATTTGGTTCAATTAATTCTTATAATATAAATAGCACAGTACATTCACAGGACAACTCAAAGTGGTGAACAAAACAAGACACAAAACCATCACACAAGGCATTCAAATCTTAAATAATCACAGTACTTTTTCAAAGAGTGAAGATACCATCCTTCAGTTGATTGCATAAACAGAACTGGTTTTGACCTTTCGACATTGTCAGAGAAAAAGCCTGTCTCTCATTTTCAGAAGACTGCTCCAGATTCTCCTCAGAGTCCCAGTAGGAGGTCAGTCCTTGTGCTCCTCAGAGTCCGAGTTGGTTCAGATGGCACTAACATACAACAAGAGCTATATACTTAATTACTTGCTTACTAATGAATGATCATGGGTAATAGCTAATTCCTAATGGTCTTGTCTTGTCTTGAATATGTTTTAATCAAAAGGAACTCTGAAGTTGGTTTCCCACTGAGGACACTGGTTTTATTTTATTATTGTGTCTGCGAGTTGTTGCTGCTGTTGTGATGCATTAAGAAAACAGGGATGACAGTGACTCAGTTGTAGAGCATTGGTCTTTGAGCCTAATGGTCATGGACTCAATCCCCCCATGGCCATGACCCATGTCATCTGCTCCCACTGATGACTGCTGTCGTGGTGTCCTTGGGCAAGACACTTTATCCCACTTTGCCTAAGGCCCCCGCTTAAACACACTGTGTCTTCGTTGATAGAGCAGCCATTTTCCCGTTGACCGACCACCTGCAGGAGAATCAGAGGGACTGGTGCTGTGAGAACTGGGCGGCAGCTCTGATTGTCTCCCCCCGAC